AAGCAAATCAAATTGAAGGGTAGGAGACAAAGGGGTGAGGGATATATTTGATTACATAACAGAATTAGGGGAAGAATTAGCCAACTAGCAAAACAGAGAAAAGGAATAATATGCAAGACTAGGGAAAGGGGTCACAGTCCAACCCTAAGGCTCCCACCCACTTCAATGTAGGGAGCTGTTGGACACTCACAACTAGACTATTTCTCTCTTTCTCTCTCTCTCTCTCTCTCAAAATTTATTTCCAGTTCCAAATTCTCTTTCTTCCTTTCCCCTTCCACATTCATTGAGAAGGCAAGAAAAACAAAACCCATTACAAATATGTATAGTCATACAAAACAAATTCCTGTATTAGCCATATCCCCCCCCCAAAAAAAAAAGATGATATGCTACACTGAGTCCATCAGGAGGTATCATCATCTCAGTCTGGAGGTGGGTAGCATTTTACATTCATGAGTCCTTTGGAATTACAGTGAGTCATCCATTGATCAGAGCTACTAAGTCTTCCAAAGTTGATTTTCTTTACAATTTTACAGTATTGCTGCTACTGTGTCGGTTGTTCGTGTTCTGCGTACTTCACTTTGCATCAGGTTCATACAAGGTTTCCCAGGTTTTTCTGAAACCAGAACCTTCATCATTTCTTTTAGCACCGTACTATTTATTCCATCCCCTTCATAACTTACTCAGCTATTCCCCAAATGATTATTAAATAACCAATTATTGGGGAGATGCAGGGTTTTTTTTTCTCTTCCTATTTCCTCATTCTCTGTTAGGCCAAGCCAACATCTAAAGGACATTGTTGTTGGATGAGATTGCCAAAATCCCTGAGGTATATGCCTTTCCATCCTGGGTGGGAGTTTGTTGTCCCACCCAACTAAAGAACCCTATGAAGAATTTAAGGTGAATTCTGGCCCACTCAGCCAGGTCTGAGCAGAGGTGTATCTTTTATCTAGATCGCCCTAGATAGGGGTAGTCTGGATAAGAGATAAGTCTCTCTGACCAAGATTGAGTGATCAGTCACCCCCAGACTCTAATTAGAATAAGCCCACATCTGATTATAATATTCATTGTCTCATTGTTTATTAACTAATTAGAGTTGATTGCCACCCTCAGGAACACCCACTCTTTGAAGGGCATATAAGCATTGAGTGGGTTCCATGAGAAGTCTTTGGCATTTGAGAATGTCACTGACCCCTTTTATTAATTATATGCTAGCATGATTAATAAAATGATTAATTACCCAGAAACTATGTGTCTCGAACTTTTTGTACATCACACTACCAACATACCTATATATTTCCTGTGCTCACTAAGACCTCACTGGATCCATCCATCCTTATTGTTGAGGTGTAGATGCTAGGGGTGTTGAGACCCCGAAATCGCAACATGCAGGTCCTGCCTGAATGAATTTGACCCAAGTCCTCTTTCAGTCAAAGACAAGGTTTTATTAGAGGAACCATACAGGCCAGACTCTTAAGGAATCTGAACATTAGTGACACCTGTAAGGACAAGTGGGTATGAGGAAGTCTCAGCATTTTAAATGGGGGCCAGGATGGATCTTATATACAGCCAGGTAATTTGGGGTGACCAGAGGAGGGGCTGGGAGGAGGATCCTGAAGCTGGGGTGACTGGGGGAGGAGTTTAGGGAGAATCCCAGTGGGAGTGTCTGGGAGGTTGAATGGGTTCATCCAGGAATAGATAGTGGAGGGCCAGGCTTCATCAGGGTAACAAAGAACTGGAAGATAAGGAAGGTAGAGGTTGAATAGGGTCTGGATAAGATCAAAGAGGGAAATATACTAGGCTTCACTAGGGAATCAAAGGGAGATGGGGCATAGGTGATAAGGCCAGTTGATAGGAATAAGAATAAGAGATAAGGAAAGGCCAGTTGGGGGGATTACAGCCTCAGGCAACCACTTGAGACTTCTTTGATAGTTCAAAGAAAGTTTAAGGGTTTTCTGGGGCCAGTAGACAAATGAGACCCAAATTTTTTTGGAGGTGAGGGGTAAAGGTCTCAGCTTGGGCCCATACCCCACACTTACTCCCTATCCTATATCTGTCCTCCCTTTCATGGCTAAACTCCTAAGGCCATCTACACGTGGTGCCTCCCCTTCCTATCTTCTCACTTTTTTCTTAACTGCAGTCTAGCTTCTATTATTCTACTGAAAATGCTCTCTTCAAAGTTAACCAAATCTGAGGGTCCCTTCTCAGTTTTCATCCTTCATGATCTGCAGTCTCTAATGCTGTTGATTATCCTGTCCTCCTTGATACCCTTTTTTGCTCTGATGTTTTTTGTTTGTTTGTTTGTTTTGGTTTTTTACTCTAGTAATGTCCTGGTTCTCCTCCTACCTGTCTGCCCACTACTTTTCAGTATCCTTTGCTGGATCTTCATCCAGGTCACATTGCTAACCATGGTGCAGTTGTTCCACTGGGAACCCAACTAGAACTGACTAGTTCCAGTTGGGCAATGCTGCTCTTTCCTTCTTTCCCTCCTTCTCTTCCTCTCCATGGGGAATCATAACTTACATGTGGTTGCTGTGCCCAAAGGAATATAAATTTCTTGAAATAAAGTTCTGGAAAACTAGGCTTTGATAAAACCCATTGGGATTCAACTTGACTATGCCTTAAACCCAAATCACTCTGGCTCTCACTGGCCAATAATGGGCCCCAACCCAACCCTCAATTTGTCATTGTTTGGGTTTTGTTGTCTCAGAGTGAGTGTAAATAACCATTGTTTCTATTTTGACCAGAAACCTTGAGGGTCTTACCCTCTCAGAATGATTTTTTTTTTTTAAGTAGGTAAAAGAAGTCTTTTTTTTTTGAGGGGGGGGACTTCATTTCTCATCTAGCCTTAATCACTGAATGAGTATAGCCTCAGACAAACCGAGACCTGGGAAAGACCTTAGCTTAAAAAGGCCAAGGTCTCCCACTGCATCCAGGGCCATCTCCACTCATCCCGATCTGGATCTTGCCACTGGACCCAGATGGCTCTGAAGGAGAGAGTGAGGCTGGTGACTTTGCACAGCCCTGCCTCACTTAAATCCAATTTATTTGCAAGTCATGGCATCATCCTCCTGGTCCTCTTCGTGGTCCTCTTCAAGAATGAAGGACAAACAACAACAAGCTAACCAGGTCAAATTTGAACTCAGATCCTCCTGACTCCAAGGCCGGAGCTCTATGCACTGCACCACCTAGCTGCCCTAAGAAGCCTTTCTTGATCTCCTTTAATCTCATTGCCTTTCCTCATATGTTGTTTGTATGTAGTCTCCCCCTCACCCCACCCCCCACCCATTAGATTGTAAGCGTCTTGATGGCAGGAACTCTTTTTCCTCTTTGTATCCTCATCACTTAGTACAGTATCTTTCACAAGTTGTTGAGTTGTTTCAGTCATCTCTGACTCTCTGTGACCCCATTTGGGGTTTTCTTGGCAAAGAATTGGTTTACCATTTCCTTCCCCAACTCATTTTACAAGTGAGGAAACTGAGGCAAATCAGGTTAAGTGACTTGCCCAGGGTCACACAGCCCATAGGTGTCTGAGGCCAGATTTGAAGTCAGGAAAAAGACTCTTCGGGATTCCCAGTTCATTACTCTATCCACTGCGCCACCTAGCTATCTTTGACATAATAGGTGCTTAATAAATGCTTGACCTAAATTCATATAAACTGATTCCTGGGTAGTGGCTATAGGCCTAATCAATGACCTGGAGTCTGGGGAGATCAAAGACTCTCTTCCCCTTTGGGATCCAAACCAGTGGAGGAATTCTGTTGATGCTCCTCCCACGTATAGTTGTTTGTGAGGCAGCTCATTAGAAACATCATATGCCCTCCATTGAACTGAATAAACAGATTGATGCCCTTATAATAAAGGCAAAATGGAATGGATCCATTGCCAATTGGACATGGGAGTCATGATGTCACATTGTGTTGAGAATCCACTTAACTTAAGGACAGGTGGCTACTTCTCTGCCCAATGGGCTCCTTATACCAATGGAGCACTCACCTATCCCACATGGCCCCAGACCTAGCCCTAGCAAATAGTCCCTGTTATCTTGCCTCAGGGCAAAAATCAAGTACTGTATTTTTGTTGTGTATTGTTTAAGTAAACTTGACCTACTTTTGTTAAGTCTGGAATGACCTACAAATAGGTCATTTCATTCCAACATTAGAACCTAAAGTGCCAGAGGAAAGGCTTGAGTCAAGCCTGGCCAATTGTACAAGTCCGGGCTGGAGTAGATGAGAATGAAGGAGCAGACAGCTGGCGTGAGGGAAGGGGAATTGTTCTTCCGGTAGTTAAAGATTCAGCGTCCTCCGTACAACAAGACACAGAAGGGATGGGGGTATGCTAGCCAGCTTCGGAGGAAGTTTAGGCAGAGGAATGGTGAGATTCATTCACGAAGGCGGGTTGACCCCCAAGGTTCTGGCATACCTCTTGCCTGCCATGCGGTTATGTCCAGGCATCTGGAAGCCTGTCTTGCAATAGGCATGAGCAAGAGGTGGTGTGTTTCAGGCCAGCAGGAAGCTGTGTCCTGGAGCCAGTTCCCTGCAAGCCTGGTAGAAACGAGGCCCCCGAGGTGTCCAGAAGACGAAGCCAGGAAGTGATGTGGAATAACTAGTTTAGTTCTAGGAGAACATGTACCCTGCTCCTTTTCAGTAGAGAAGTGGGGGATTCTAGATACAGAATATTGCATACATTATGAGACGTAGTTACTGAGTCAATTGGTTGTTTTTGTCAATGGCTCATGGTGGAGTTGGGGGTGGGGGTAGGAGTGGGCAGTGTATCCAGAAATGACTGTGATTTGAAAACAAAAATAAAAAGCATAAATAAAATTTGTTTGGTGCAACTAATGACTTTTGTTTTGCCTTCCTGCCAACATAAAACTTACTACCCTCCCTATGGAAAAAACTGAAGTCAACTTGTACTTGAGGTACAAGTAAGGGGGTGTACATAGTAGTATTTTTAATATTATATTTTATGACTGCACATATTTTGAATGCCAGAAAATCCTATTCTCCATTAACCTTCCAGAGGTTAGTAATGATTTTCAAACTTCCCTCTGGGAAACTACTAACAGTTTTCTAGGTAAGCAGTTAAGGGTTAGATGATGGGGCTGGGGATGGGATGGGTGGGAAGGATTATGGTGTATAGAAATGGGATAGAGAGTAACCACTTGCCAACCAATGGCAAAGAAAAAAGAAGCCTATAGGTGGGGTAAGTATGAGGGAAATGACCTTAACATCAGAAAGGGTCCTGTGCAAAATATTAACCACTCACTACTCTATACCAGGCCCCAGCTTTCTCCTCAACCATAAAATAATCCACTCTATTTTCCAGAATTAGAGACCCTATCAGAACACACTATGATAACTGCACTTTATAAACTCCCATTTCCCAACTCCTTTATTTGCCTTGGGGCGATACCATGCTGCCCACTTCTGTCCAGCCAGCAGAAGACCCAGATCAGTCAGTGTAGAGGGCATAGGCCGGACTGACCCAATGTGACGATGTACTTTCAACATCATCATCTCTCTGAAGAACACCCCTGGTAGCTCTTGGCGGGAAGAGGGAGAGGATGCATTTGACCACAGCAGATATGCTTCATCTCTGGGAAGGACAAGAGCAAGAGTGGAGACCGTTGAGATGGCCCCCATGAGCACAGTGTGAGGGAGCTTGATAGTGCTCTTGAGGGGTTGTCACCCTTTGGGGAAAGAAGTTCAGGGAGCAAAGACAGAAAAAGGAGGAACCATGAAACAAGCTTCAGTGGAGGAAGCTTCTGGGGAAGGAGAACTAGGAGAAGGGTGATTTAACAGAAAGATACTGAAATACACACTATACCACATAGACAAGAAGACTAAATATACGTATCTGTGGGCTGTGAGTTTTATCCCCTAAATTCATTGTTGTTATGTATTGCTAGGTTAAACTACTGAAAGAATTTTTCTTCACTATAAGTGAGTTGGAATAAAATTAGACACGGACACAATATTAACTCCAGTACTTTCAGTGCATCATCATTAAACAATTTTGCTGTAAATGGGCACAGAAATTGTTTGTTCTAGTTGTACTGGTGTCAAAAGAGAAAGAAGTCTTCCTGGAGCCCCTGGAAAAGGTCCTTCTCAATACAAGGTCAGATTACAGAAGGCACTAAATCGACAGAGAAATCCAAACTTTGTCCTAAAATAAATCATCTGGTTTCAGGACTTAATTTCAAAAGAACAACGTGAGGTCATCAAGGACCCCGGGTCGGTCCTGGCCCTCCCCAAAAGGTTATTTACATAAAAAATAACATCCAGCTGGCAAGGTTTTCACCCCTTGTAACCCCTCCTTTCTACTGCCCAACCCCCTGAAAGAAGAAGAGAAAAGGAGCCAGAAAAAGCACCATCATCTTCTCTTCTGCCGTTGTTGCTTCTTCCCTTTGCCTTTCGCCCCCTTGCCATCATCTTTGTCCTTCTTAGGCATCCTGAAATTGCCCAGTTCTCTCCGTACCATGGTGCCTCTCCACCAGGCCTGAAGCTAGAAAGTGGAGGAGAGAAGGAGAGATGGTGAGGGGCATGTCTGTGATGTCCCCAACAAGCAGCAGCATTTTTCATGACTAGGAATTATTCCTGGGAAAATAAAAAGCTATTATCTGAACATAAACACATATGCCCCAGCAGCACAGTGTGCTTTGAGAACCCATCCTTTATAGTGTTGTATGGTGTATGGGGCTCAGCTTTGGACTTTCTGGTCAGATTTTCAGAACTCTGATCAGGCCAATTTTTTTTTTTGTTGCTGTTCTTTTGCCCTTTGAAGCACCTAGCTGCCTCCTTACAGCATGATACTCAACACAAAAGGTTTAAAAATACATACAAGAGATGAAGATAAACATGCTTCAGGGGCTTGGGAACTCACTTGGTTTAAACTTCATTGAGAAACCATGGGCTTCAATCAAGACTAGATTTGGAAAAAATGGCCTATTTGTCAAAGGTTCTCTTAATATCCAATGTGACACAAGTGTGGCCTCATGCTGAAGAATTACAGAATCCATGTCAAAATTGTTTGAGCTCAATGCCAAAGCCAGTAAAACAAGCAAATTCAGCACAAATTTTAATGTTACGTATTAAATATTTTGAAGTAATAAGAAGTTGTAGAGCAGAAATCAGCAAAGATCGTCCAGGTGGCCAACTCCAATGGACACAAACTCTTCTATTGTTGCCTTCCACTGCAACCTCTAATCACCTCTGTTTTTCCTCCCCAGTGGCTTCCCTTTTTCAAGTTTTCCTTCTCTTCCAAAATTACCATGGCATAAGTGGTTGGATTGTGGAGCAAAATAGTATTGAGTTTCACTGTCATTCACAACACATCCTTACGTATTTCCTGCTCTGTGGCAAACCAAGATCTCTCTCATGAGGAATGTTTATTGTCTGGGGTGGGTATGGCCCCTTTTGCTGAGGGATGTAGGCTTTGTGTGGCTGGGCTGATACAGCAACTCCAGATGGATGCCCCGGTCCCCTTGACTGGGTGCTGAGGCGGGGAGTGTTATATAAAAGAGATTTGTTGACTGTCCAAGGAGAAGTCATCTAGTCTCTGGAGCAAGAAGAAACTTTCTGCTTCTCTTTTAGGAGCCCTCCCTTTGGAAATCTTCTACTTCCCTGACATCCAGTAAATAGGTGCAGAAGGCATTTCTCTCCCCACCCAATATAATCAGCAATCATGGCTACAAGTCCGTGGCAGAAGGAACATATATGCTGTTCTAGGTGAACCTAAATCCCTGGTGCATTCCTCTGTTTGCTGCTTTCTTCTGGAATACAGATTAGCAAGCAGTGTTCTTGCAAAGTGGATATTTCCAGCCTTGGAAGGAGCCTCCATGAGCTCCAAAATCAAATGCCAACCAATTTGAGGTAAAGGAGCTTTTTGGAGAAGGTGGCCACTGCCAGGTCAGCCTGTAGTTGGTGAGTTCTGGCTAGCCAGAGATCCTTATCTTGGAAGGTGCACAGACCGAGCAGGTATGATAGGACAGAGTATAACCTTCTCCCCAAGCATAGGTTAGATCACCATCCTTGAAAGGAAACAAAGGTGTTCCCAGGACGTGAGTTGCCAAGGCTTAAGCTGTGTCTCTCTGGACAGAGCTCTGTGGCAGCCTCCAGCCATACTGAGGTGGCTTTCTGGTCACCTAAGGGCATAAAAAGGTACCCCCCCCCATAAAGTCTAGGCCCTTCCGAAACTTGGAGGATGTGCTGAGACCAAGCAAATCACCACACCCTACTACCCTACCCTGCTGACCAGGTGTTATTTCCATAAGGAGATCTGCAGAGATGGGGATGGGGAGACATCTACCCAAGCTAAGTGGTACAGTATCCTCACTGAATATCCTTCATATGTTGGTTAAGTAAAACTCCTTTTGTTAACTGTTGAATAACCTACAAGTGCTTCTTTTTGTTCCAACATCAAACTTGAACTAAAAGGGTGATGGTCTGAGTCAGGCTGTCCCAGCCCATTCCCTGCCAACAGCAGATCAGAAGCAATGTGAAGTATCCATATTTGTTCAGCAGTCCCATTAAAGGTTTTTTTTTTTAATTTGTTCTTGTTTTTTGTTTTTGTTTGTTTATTTTTTACTTTTCCCAAGCAGTATGAGTATAGGGTTAAATGAGTATTTTACATTTTTTGTATTTCTTTGGATGCATCTCTGAGTCTTTTACATCATAAGCAAAGGATTCTTTCTGTGGTGGAAGAAATAAACTACGGTCTTCTACCTGATATATTGTATATTAAACGCCTTTTTCTAGAAGAGACCTTGTAACTTGCATATGGGGGAGATCTTAGCCATGAATTAGATCCAGAGATTTTCCCTAAGTTCGTTTTAGAGATGTCCTGAAGGTTTGCTTTTGGGTAAGAACATAGTGAGTCAGAAAGAGACAGAGTGAAAGAAGCCCGACCTCCCCCTCCTTCTAACCCCCCCTCCCCCATGTGGAGTTAGAGCCACTCAGGACGAACTTGGTCCTCGTGTGCCCAGAGCTATCTCTCCTTGCGGGCCTGAGCCCACTGGTAACAATTACATTACTCAGTGACTGGGCTAACTGTGACTTTTTATTAAAAAGCCATTATTATGCATGTTAAAAAAGTTTCACTTTCTACCTTTATGATGCTCTTCAGTTCCAAGGCATCTTGGTCTATCTTCTTCCTGGCTTTCTCCTTTTCTAGACGATCTTCAATAATGACTTGCTCAAACTCCCTTAACTGCAAAGACATACATTAGTCAGATGTCAGCGCATCGCTGGCCACACCACAGTCATTCACTTTTAATCTAAGATCCAGCCCAGTGGACTTGAATTGAACTTAGGTCTGCTCACATCCTCCACATCCCACCCACTGACTCTTCAGCCCTTGCAATCTGTCTGTCCCCATCACTCCACTACTGCTATTTTGTTGTTGTTGTTATTATTATTCAGTTGTCTCACTCTTTATGACCCCATTTGAGGTTTTCTTAGCAAAGACACGGGAGTGGTTTGCCATTTTCTTCTCCATCTTACTTTACAGATGAGGAAATTGAGACAAAGAGGTTTAACTTGCCCAGGGTCACACAGCTAGTAAGTGTCGAGGCCAGATTTGAACTCAGGAATCGTGAGTCTTCCTGATTCTAAGCTAGTGCTCTATCCACTGTGCCACCAACTTACTACTCCTACTCCTACTACTCCTACTACTATTACTACTACCATTACTACCACCACTACCACCACCACCACTACCACCACCATCACTACTACTACTACTACTACTACCACTACTACCACTACTACCACCACTACCACCACTACCACCACCACCACCATCATCACTACTACTACTACTACTACTACTACTACTACTACTACTACTACTAC